AGAATGGGGAATCAAACAATGTTCCAATCTCTACAACTATACAAAAAGCTGAAGAGAAAGCAGTATTTTAACTGGCAGTCCTAAAGCTCAAAGAAGTTTAAGTTTAATTACTATAATTTGTACAAGGATGAAAAATAGTTTGACCCTAGATCACATACCAAATTTAATGGCAATAATTTTATTAGGAAAAGAATTTAGTTAATTGGGAAGCAACTCCATTTCTTTCACGATGTAACTCTAGATTGGCTAAAGATACAAAAAGTTGGCAAAAATCAATGAAAGTATTTCGTGAGAATCAATTTGCTATATGGAATTTATAATAAAAAGTATATATTTTGTTATTATTTGTAAATGTGTGCCACACATCCTTTACATAGTTTATAATTAACAACAAAAATATATATGCATGTATACATATATGTAGTATATATATATACACATATATGCACATGTGCATTTATTTCAGAGAGCTAGCTCTTAAACAGTTCCTAGCACACTACTGCCTAAGGGGGAGGCACCCACCTGGGAGGCACTATAGACCTGTTTCTGGGAGAAGACATCCTGTCCCATGTGGGTTGGAGCAGCCTCTTTCTATTGACTGCAGAGCCAGAACAGGCTGTATCTTTAAAGTGACCAAACTGGGACAGTATCATCTCTCTTGGGCTGTGTCCAGGGTGTGAAGGTCCCTTTCTCCCACAGAATGAGTACTAGGGACTAAGGTGGGTGGGGCCCGGTGGACTCCTTATGGGCTTGGGGTTTTGGTCCATTTTATCTGTCCTTTTCGGTTCTAGGTGTAGGCGGTGGAATCTCTGGATGCAGAGCAATGAGCTTAAGGTTTCATGAGCCACGGTGACTTTGGAGGCAGAATTAGGGGCTGGATGCTGCTGGCAGTACAGCAGGTATACACTAAGAAGCCAGGGTATCAAGAGAGGTAAGCCCGGGGTGGCTTTGGACCTGGAACTTGGAACCAAGCTATACAGTAATTGAATTAAGCTGTGAACTTAATACCTCTTCCTTTATGCCTCCTTTCAGGTGTTGGGGTGTGTGTGTGTGTGTATGTGTGTGTGTAATATTTATATATTTGTACTTGTTACACCTTTGAAGTAAATATTCCTTTATGAAAACTAACCTGTTAAGTGGTTATAAAAGGAACTGGAGTGAAATGTAACATACCTGACCTTCAGGAAGTGGGAGCCAGGGAGGTCATTATTACATACACAAGGAATTTATTCAAATTTATAAGAATAAGAGCCATTCTCCAATTTATAAATAGTCAAAGGATATGAACATATTGTTCTCAAGGGAAAAAATAGTCATCATGTGAAAAAAGACCCAAGTCCCTATTAAGTAGACAAATGCAAATTACAGCAATTCTGAGGTTATGGCTCTTACTCCTTAGACCAGCACAGATTAAAAAAAATAGAGAGAATGACAAATATCAGAGGACTCTGATGATGGTGGGAGTTGGGGGTGGAGTAAAGGATAGGCTTAGCAGTGAACTGTTAGTGAACTGGTGCTCTGAATTGGTCCCAACATTCTGGAAAGCCCCCTAAAAAACTAAAATGTGGAGGTGTAGCTAGGTGGTGAAGTGGATAGAGCTCTGGCCTGGGAGTCAGGAGGACCTGAGTTCAAATCTGGCCTTGGACACTTGATTCTTACTAGCACCGTGACCCTGGGCAAGTCACATAACCCCAATTGCCTCACCAAAGACCAAAAAAACCCCAAAAACAAACAAAAAAAAAACAACCAAAAAACTAAACTGTGCATACCCTTTGCACCCAGCAATGCTATTAGTCCTCTATCCCAGAGAAATGAAAAAAAAAAAAAGGAAAAGGACCCATATGTACAAAGATATTTGTAAGAATTCTTTTTTTTTTTTTGACATGAAGCTGCCAACCAGTTGGGGAATGGCTGGACAAATTATAGGATATGAATGTAATCAAATAATATTGTTCCATAAGAAATAATGAAAGGGACACTTTCAGAGAAACCTGGGAAAATTTGTACTGAACTAATACAGAAAAGTGAACAGAACTAGGAAAACAATTTATATAATAACAACAATATTGTAAAGACAAACAACTTTAAAAGACCTAGGAATTCTGATCAACCCAACCATAATTGCAGAGGGTTCATGATGAAAGATGTTCCCACCTCCTGATGGAGAGGCAAAGGACTAAATTTGCAGAATAAGACATGCATTTTTGGACACAGTCGACTTGAGAATTGATTTTACTTGACTGTGCATATTTATTACAAGGGTTTTTTTCCCCCCAATGGTGGGTGATGGTAAAAGGGACAAATGCTTGTGAAATGAAGTAAAAGAAAATAAGCCCCCCCCCCCCACGGTTCCCTTAAGTTCTGCTGGAGATTCAGGAGTAAGGAAATGGAGAATGAATTCCATTATATTCTGCCTCCTTATCACCCTGACCCCTGTTCTTCATCTGAGTCTCCTGAAGTATCAGTTTCAAATCTTCTCACTTATATTCAAGCCTCTCTAGGTACCCTCTTTTCCAAGCTCCTTTGCTCAATACTTTGTGTCACAGTTGACTGAAAAAAAATTGAGGACATTCCCCCACAGCACCCTCTTTTCTGTTCCTCTTCATCTCTTATCTCTCAAACATGCTCTTTCACTCCCTTAATAGAAGAGTTGCTAAGGCCAGTTCCACTACTTGCATCCTCAGCTCCCTCTCCTTTAATCTTATCAAGCAGACTGTCCCCACTATCTATCTCTCTTTTCTTCAACCCCTCCCGATATTCTAGTTCCTTCCCTTCTGCCCATAAACACCCTCACATCATGGAGGCATCCCGATTAGCTAATGTCTTATCTCTCTCCTCTCCTTGATCTTTTAATTGCCAAATCTAATCATTCTCCATCCTTAACCCTCTTGACCTCTCCGCAGCATTTGACACTTGGTCACATCTTCCTTGACCTGTGGAGGGATACGCTGAGCTCATTCTGCCAGCAGCCAGCTCCATCCACCCCTCCAAAGATTGTAGGGGTACCCCTGAGAGGCAGTAGAGTGGCTTTCTCTAACAGGGACCCTGCAAGCTCCTATTCCAGTGTGTCTTCTCCATGCCACCATTAGACATAACAGAGACAGAAGGAACAGCAAGGTCATGCCCACACAATGCTAGCACAGAAACACAAAAGCCTGAGCTCTCTCTCTCTCTCTCAAACCCAGCCAGGCTGGACTGAGCACTAGGCCTCTCTTCAGCTAGTTAATGTCTTTTGAATGAACCCCAATTCTGCCTTTTCAGTCAATCAGTACGGTGCTTCTCTTCCTCATATGGTAACACTTAGACAATGTCTGTGAATACTCCAAATCAGGGAGCTGGTCACTCTTGTTACACATCACCACGCTTTTCTGGAAACAAGCCCTACAGTCTCTTCCTGGTGGGGATGACATCACCCTCAAATGCTGCACAAGTTTGCCTCAGAGCTACCTTCACATCCGCAGCAATTAGCACACTATCTTATACATGATAAACCCTGAATAAACGCTTGTGGTTTTCAGTGCTGTCCTTATTCATTAGACAGACCACTATCTTTTCTTTAACCTGTCTTATGCCGTTATTGGATTAAGAAATTCTTCTAAGATCTGTATCTGTCCTTGACTTTAGGTCTGATTACACTCAGATAAATGTTAAATATATTTACCAAAAGATTTTCTGATTCGTTTGGTCAGTAGATTGGAGGCTTTGGGTAATGGAAGGGAATGATAAGGAGAGCCAAGTGTTTTCAAAGCAGCCACACCAAATAATTTGCTCATTTTGTCAGTTTCAGGTCAGTTTGAACTGTACTCACACAAAAGCTTGCAACAAAGGGGAAATGGACAGTCGCGGTAAAAACAAAAAATCAAAATAAAAATCATCAGAATGTTGGGCAATTAGACCTAACAAGCTTAGCTGCGAAGAGGTAGGAGGATGCTCTTCTGTCACCTCTTTGCAAAGGGGGAGGATGATGGGTGTGTTCTACACTCCATATCCGGTCTGAATTGGTTGATCTATTGGCTAGTTTTGCCGAAATATTTGCTCTTTCTTTTCCTCCTTTGTAAAAACAAAGGCTGTCTGAGAGGTGGAGGGGGGGAAGGGATGCCTTGGGGAATGTAAGGGAGGTAAAAATTAAAAAAAGGATACACTTTTTAAGAGGAGAATCACTCTCTTACGCATAATTACGAAAGCGACCTCCACACGTTTTTTCTTTAAAAACCAGTTTATTTTTCAGTGATCAAGCATTTATTTTTTCTCCCTCCCACCTGCCACCCCCCCTATTAAAACACAACGCCCCCTCCCCACCAGTAACCGATGTGCATAGTCAAGCAAAACAAATTTCCACGTTCTCCCAGTCCAGAAATGTACGTCTCTGCAGTTGCGGCAGCGGCGGCGGCAGAGGCGGCAGCAGCGGGAGCCCCAGCAACAGCCCCAGCAGCCCCAGCAACAGCAGCAGCCGCAGCCCCGGCAGCAGCAGCGGCCCCGACCCCGGCCCCGGCACCGGCGGCGGCAGAGTCGGCTCCAGCTGCACCAGCGGCTCCCAGGCTGGGGGCCCAGCGCCGGGATCGCTGCCCGAGGAGGAAGGCCCGGGCTCCGGAGGCCGAGCTCCGGCGGGGCCTGACGACCCCCAGGAACCGCCCTGCAGGCTAGGACACGCGGACCCCGAGGCCCGCGGAGGGCCCGGAGCGGCGGTCGGAGCTGCGCAGCGGCCTAGCGCGGGACGCGGAAGGCGGGGGGCCTCGGGAGGAGGCCGCGAGCCCGCCAGCGCCACCCCCCCTCAGCGCGCCCCCCCAACCGAGCCCGCGGGCGCGCGAGCGAGCGGCGCAGCCCCCTCCCCTCCCCCCTCCTGCTCCTCCTCCCCCGCCCGCAGAGGAGCCGAGCCGAGCCGAGCCCCGGAGCAGCAGCGGCAGCGGCAGCGGCGGCGGCGGCGGCGGCGGCGGCGGCGGCGGCGGCGTCAGCAGCGTCCGTCCCGGGCCCTCCGCGGACGAGGGCAGCGGCGCGGGGGGATGGACCATTGCGGCTCCGGAGGGGAGCTCCTGGCTGCCATCGGCGAGCGGTGCCTGGGGCCCGACGAGGAGGCTCACGTGAAGGCGTCTCTGGGGAGCAGCGGCGGCGGCGGCGGCGGCGGCGGCGGCAGCGAGATGGGCGTGTCCGCCCACTTGCAGTCGTCCAAGGCCGGCACGACCCGGTTCTTCCGCAGCAACACGCACAGCTCGGTGGTGCTGCGGGGCTTCGACCAGCTGCGCGGGGAGGGCTTGCTGTGCGACGTGAGCCTGGTCCCCGGCGACGGCGATGAAGCCTTCCCCGTGCACCGGGCCATGATGGCCTCGGCCAGCGACTACTTCAAGGCCATGTTCACGGGGGGCATGAAAGAGCAGGATCTGAAGTGCATCAAGCTGCACGGCGTGAACAAGGTGGGCCTGAAGAAGATCATCGACTTCATCTACACGGCCAAGCTGTCGCTGACCATGGACAACCTGCAGGACACGCTGGAGGCGGCCAGCTTCCTGCAGGTGCTGCCGGCCCTGGACTTCTGCAAGGTCTTCCTCATCTCGGGCGTGTCCCTGGAGAACTGCGTGGAGGTGGGGCGGCTGGCCAACACCTACAACCTGACGGAGGTGGACAAGTACGTGAACAACTTCATCCTGCGCAACTTCCCCGCGCTGCTGCACAGCGGCGAGTTCGAGAAGCTGCCCTTCGAGCGGCTGGCCGCGGCGCTGGCCAGCAATAGCCTCAAGCACTGCGGCGAGCTGGAGCTCTTCAAGGCCGCGTGCCGCTGGCTGCGCCACGAGGAGCCGCGCATGGAGCTGGCGCCCAAGCTCATGAAGAACATCCGCTTCCCGCTCATGTCGCCGCAGGACCTCATCAACTACGTGCAGACGGTGGACTTCATGCGCGCCGACAACACCTGCGTCAACCTGCTGCTGGAGGCCAGCAACTACCAGATGATGCCCTACATGCAGCCCGTCATGCAGTCGGAGCGCACGGCCATCCGCTCGGACAGCACGCACCTGGTCACGCTGGGAGGCGTGCTGCGGCAGCAGCTGGTGGTCAGCAAGGAGCTGAGGATGTACGACGAGAAGGCCAACGAGTGGAAGTCGCTGGCGCCCATGGACGCCCCTCGCTACCAGCACGGCATCGCCGTCATCGGCAACTTCCTCTACGTGGTGGGGGGCCAGAGTAACTACGACACCAAGGGCAAGACGGCCGTGGACACGGTCTTCCGCTTCGACCCGCGCTCCAACAAGTGGATCCTGGTGGCGCCCCTCAACGAGAAGCGCACCTTCTTCCACCTGAGCGCCCTCAAGGGCCACCTGTACGCCGTGGGGGGCCGCAACGCGGCCGGGGAGCTGGCCACCGTCGAGTGCTACAGCCCCCGCATGAACGAGTGGAGCTACGTGGCCAAGATGAGCGAGCCCCACTACGGCCACGCGGGCACCGTCTACGGGGGGCTCATGTATATTTCGGGGGGCATCACTCATGACACTTTCCAGAAGGAGCTCATGTGTTTTGACCCGGACACGGACAAGTGGACTCAGAAGGCTCCCATGACCACCGTCAGAGGGCTGCACTGCATGTGTACTGTCGGAGAGAAGCTTTACGTGATCGGAGGAAACCACTTTAGGGGAACCAGCGATTATGATGATGTTCTCAGCTGTGAATACTATCTGCCGGCCCTGGACCAGTGGACCCCCATCGCTGCCATGCTGAGGGGCCAGAGCGATGTGGGGGTGGCAGTGTTCGAAGATAAGATCTATGTGGTGGGGGGATACTCTTGGAATAACCGCTGTATGGTAGAGATAGTCCAGAAGTATGATCCCGAAAAGGATGAGTGGCACAAGGTGTTCGACCTGCCCGAGTCACTCGGTGGCATCCGGGCTTGTACCCTCACCGTTTTTCCTCCCGAGGAAAACACAGGCTCCCCTTCCCGAGAGTCCCCTCTCTCTGCCCCTTAAACCAGTGCTGTGGATTCACTGCACGTGGCTCCTCTCTGGCTCTGGGGGAGGTTGGGGGGGAGGGTCGGGGGGGGGGTGCTCCTTTATTGTCCTTCTTCTTAGTAGTTCTTAGCTTAGCTTACTGTAGTTGCAATGGTGACTGAAAATGACGTCATTTGTGATGTTCCTGTGTTGTAGAATGCTTCTCTGTGGTTAACAAAAGCATCCTTAATGTCTCTTCGCCAGAGATGAATGTTTAACCAATGCAAAAGCAAGGTGTTGTCTCTAGCAGATGTTTCGTTGCTGTGCATCCCTACTTTGTGTGACTGTGTGATGGGTGGGAGGCTTCCAGGTGGGCCAGCTTCTGGGAGGAAGCCCAGTGAGTCACCTTGCCAATGGAATGTAGTTTATGTGTGACCCTGTCCTGTGTGCTATAAGGGGGGACCTCTTCCCTTTTGTTTTGTGACTGCTGGTTGTTCAAAGGAGGCACTTTGGGATGAGCTGCTGCCCTCTGTTCACAGGCTATTTTGGCCATCTCTCTCAGCCCACCTGACTAGGTGAGATACATTCCAAGCAGAGGAAGTTGCTTAGACAAGAAAATGTCATTGCAGAAATAATAATGCCAGAAAAAAAATGCATGGCCTCATCCCTATGCCCAGTTTCTGGGCTTTGATTATTGGTGTTACTGCTTCTGATTTTTTTTTTTTAGGCACACATAAAAATACTGAATTTTAAAAATTCGATGGACTTCAATGGAATAGGAAATGTGTTGGGTTTTTTTTTAAAGATTTTTCCAAGAAACCATTTCCAATAATATCAGCTGTGAATCTATGGAATTCAGTCTAACTCTACTGAATTTAGGGGAATAAGAGCTGGAAGCATGTTCAATGTGTCTAGATTTCACCTGGCCCCATTTTCTGTCCCCATAAATTATCCCTGTTTTCCTTGGCTGATAAGATAACTTACACATTCCATGCCTTCTCCATAGTCGATGTTAATAAGGTTACATAGCACAAGATTCACTTTCAGCAAGAGACTACTTTGCTCTGTGAACTCCGAATTCCATGTTTTGTGTTTTGTTCAATAAAACTTTAAATGTCAAAAAACTGTGTATCATTGGGAATCTTGAATTTATTACCTCTTTTCCAGGAGTTCTGTAGCCTATTTCACTATTGGTCCTCTAGAATCATGACTAGTTATTGCATTGATCAAAGTTCATGAATCTTTCAAAGTGGTTTGGGTGTTTTGTTTTTTTTAACCATATTATTGGAGAAATTGTTTTCCTGGTTCTATTCACTTCAGTCGGCATCATTCACACAAATCTTCCCAGATTACTCTGAAACCATTCCTTTTCTCTTACCTCACAATAATATTCTATTATGTTAATATACCATTTTTTGCTCAGCCATTATCCAGTTGATAAGCCCTCCCTCTCCCACTTTATATTCCAATTCTTTTCATCTACAAAAAGAGCTACTGCAAATATTTTTATAGATATGAGTCTTTTTCCTCTTTAGGATGTCTGCCTAGTAGAGGCATGGATGGGTCAGAGGGTTTTCAAAGTTTAGGTACTTTCAGGTCACAGGTCCAGATTTCTTTCCAGAGTGCCTGGCCCAGTTAATAGCTCCACCAACACAGCATCAATGTGCCTGTTATACTTACCAATCTATAACATTTATAATTTTCCTTTTTTTATCAACTTTGGCAATCTGATGAGTGTGAGGTAGAACCTCAGAGTAGCTTTGATTTCCATTTCTCTCTGTCTCTACATAGATATAGATATGTATATATATGTATATATATATATACACATACATGTGGGGGGTATATATATAAATATATATGTATAGCACTGTAGATATAGTTAGGATTTTTTTCCATTGAGTACAGTCTGTTAATATCCTTTAACCATTTAGTAATTGAGGGATGATTACTATTCGTATAAATTGCAAGCCCTTCCATATATATATCTATATCTATATCTATCTATCTATCTCTCTCTCTCTATATATATATATACACACACATATATTTTTTAAATGAGTCCTTTATCGCAGAAGTTTGCTACAAAGGTTTTTTTCCCCAGTTAACGTTCTCTCTCTTAGCTCCATTTATTCTGTTTGTGCAATATTTTAAAAAAAGTAATCAAAAATGTCCATTTTCTGCAATCCTCTCTGTTCCTTGTTTGGTTACAAACTTTCCCCCTGGCCATATATCAAAGAGAGAGATTCCTCCTTGCTTCTCTGATTTGTTTAGGATGAGTCATATATTGTTTGGAATGTCATTGTAGATATGACTCTAAACCTAACTTCTGCCATATTGCTGTCCAGTTATCCCAGCAGCTTTTGTGCAATTGTGAGTCATTCCCCTAGTAGCTAGGGTCTTTGTGTTTATTGAGCATTAGGGTTACTAGGTCTATCTGTTTCTGCATGTGGTATACTTAATCTGCTCCACTGATAGACCTCTCAATTTTTAAACTAATACCAAATAATTTTAAGGATTATGGTTGGGTAGAATAGATGTGGCATTTCTAGATCCCTCATCTTCCCACTTTTCCTCATTATTTCCCTTAAGATTCTTGGCTTTTTGTTCTTGCAGATGAATTTCATTTTTTTTTCTAGTGCTATAAAATCATCCTCTGGTAGTTTGTTATGGCACTGAATAAATAATTTCAGTAACACTAACATTTTATTCTATTTGCTTGCCCTACATATGAGGAATAAATATTTCTCCAATTAGCTAGATCTGTTTTCATTTCCATAAAAAGTATTTTGTAGTAGTATTTATAGAGTTCCTGTGTGTGTCATGGTAGGGAGATTCCCAAGTATTTTATACATTCAGTAGTTATGTTAAATGCAATATCTCTACTTCTTCCTGCTGGATTTTGCTGCTTAATGGACAGAGATGCTGGGACTATGGGACCCTCATTTAGTCACGTCTTCCTAGGCCTCTGTTTCCCTTCTCTCTAAATGCTGATATGAATTAATTACTTAAATTTATTCTATAGCTTTGCCGAAATTGTTTCAATTAAATTTTTGTTAGCTCTTGGATACTCAAAGTGAATTCTCACAGCACCTGTACAAAATGATCATCTTTTTCTGTCTGTGCTTATTCCCTCAATTTCTTTTTCCTTTCTCATTGTTCTAGTGAGCCTTTCTAGCACTATATAAAATAGTAATGGATAATGGACATCCTTCATTGATCCCTGATCTTCCTCCATTTCCCTCCCATTTAAAAAGAACACAGGCCTTTCATATGTGTCAAGTATTCATTTAGAACTTCTTGTGGGTGTGTGGAGTAAGATGCTGCTCTATATCCATTCCATGTGAAACAGCTTCCTGTTTTCCCTGTAGATCTTGTCATATCAGGAGTTCTTTCCAAAGTGGTTTACATTCTCAGGTTATGGAATTCCAATGTTTCCAGCCCTTGCTTGTGAGGGATTTGTTGGAGGTGGGTTATTTTTGACAACTAATGTGTGGGTACACCAAGGGGTGGTGGAAGAAAGGAGAGGGGTGTGTGGTGTTTTCCCAGCTGTGAGTTGAGGAGTTGGAAAGTAGATATGGAAGTGTCTGAGGACCACAGCAGATTAAGAGGGCAAGGAGAGAAGAGGAAGTATGAAAACTAGGCTCCATGAGCAGCTGGCTCTGAGGATGATGAATCTATGTCCAGGAGAAGGAGGCAACGGCAGACAGAATGACTTTCAAGTGAGGGAAGACAGAAAAGCAAGGAATATGCCCACTGTTGCTGCTGGGCCTGTGTGATGACTGGGGCAGGTAGGAGGGCTGAGAAGCAGCAGCCAGAGCTGGAAAAGGCAGCAAGGTCCCATTGATATAAGCACCCAGTCCTTTATAGAGTGTGTTTCTCTCACAAGAAACCAGTGTGGCAGTTTCATGAGAATTATCATCACCCCTGGCCTTACAAATTAGGAAACTAAGGTTCTGATGGAGGATGTGACTAACAGAACCACAGCCCAGAAGTAACATCATGAAGGCCTGAAGGGTCCCAAGGACGTCAGGCTTTGGGGACTTGTAGGAGAGAGAGGCCTCCTGTGGAATGGAGCATGTGGCAAGGCTTTTGAGCTACCCCAAGCACTAAGGAGACAGCGTGGAGATGGATTGTGTCGGGATGGAGCCAAGCAACTCTTATCAATTCATCAAACATACACATTTGCCATGAGGATCATCTATTTATTATAAATGTTTAAATGGAGGCATACAAAGAATCAGAGGTTGACAGCAGTTTGGGAGCTCAAGGAACACTGAGTGGAAGCCTCTCGTTTTGGAGAGCAGGGAAACAGAGGCCTAGGAAGAGGAAATGACTAAGGGGGGTCCCATAGTCAGTGATGGGCAGAGGAAGTCAGCATTGGGCCAGGCCTCCTCAGGGTCAGCTGGGGCGGGGCTGCTCAAAGGTCATACGTGAGTCTTCTCCTGGCAGTGGACGGGAGCTTGTCGAAGCGCCGCCTTCGACTTTGAATTAAGGAGGCAAATATTCGGTGTGCATTCTGGAAGACCTGCTGGCTGGAGTCCAGTTTCTTGTTCTCAGAATCCTGCAGCATCTGTGAAGGGAAGAAAAGAGAAAAGGAATCAGAGGACCAGGGAGGGACATGTGTCTCCCCTCTGAGTCCCAACACTTCCTCCTCAATGAAGGAAACACCACATTGGCCCTGGTAAAGTGAAAGATTCCAGTGTGTTGGGATGCTTGACCTCCTCATTGTAATTTAAAACACAGCAGGGATTGCTATCACTTCCTATGGGACAGGGCACAGGGGCCAGCATCTACCCACCATTCTCCTGGAGGGGTTCTTGACTTTTTTTTTCTCATGGACCCATTTGGCAGTCTGGTAAAGTCTGGTAAAGATCCTTCCACACACATAATATACAGGATTACAGAAGAAATCACTTCTTTTGAAATAGTTATTAAAATATATTTTTATCATTAAAAATTTTCTAATTACATGAAAAAACAATTTCTAAAATTTATTTTTTTAATTTGAAGTTTCAAATGTTCTCTCTCCTTCACTCCTCTTCCTCCTCCCTGAGATAGAAAGCAATTCGATACAGGTTATATATATGCAGTCATGCAAAACA